GCATGCAGAACAGTGTTCGTTTGCTGTGCTAGGAGAGATGCTTTGTACTGCTGTAAAATGGGGCTTCTCTGGCCTGGCCTCCCCTGCCACCCACTGCTGCAGGGGACTGGGGCGAAATGCAACGTGGGGTGCCCCACTGCTCCCATGTATGGGTCACCCTCTTCCACTGCCCTCCTGCAGCGAGTTGGAGTCTGACTAAATGCCTGTCGGCGTCTCTGCCAGTTAGGAGCACATCGATGGGCTAAGTGACAGTAATACTCATTCTGTGGAATAAAAACAACATCCGTAACCACTGGATGAGAAATTGTTTAATCAGATGAGGCTGCACGAAACAAACATGCTTTGACCTTCCGGTGAAGTTTAGCAGCTTTCTTGCTTTAAAATTTCCGCTACCCAAAATTAAATGTTGCAATTAATTATTTATTTTCATTTCTACTGAAGCAACCTGAAAGCCTTTGAACATCAGTGAAATTGTGACAAAATACCTGGGTTGAGACCATCAGCTTTCTGCCTGGGGAAGAGGCGCTGTGGTGGTGGCAGCTCCTGATCTTCCTTTACTGACATGTGTAATAAATGGAAAATATTTCACGTCCCTGTTCAGAACCTGGAACCTGAAAAGAATGGAACTAGTAGTTCACAGGCACTGGGCTGAGGAGAGAGAAGTAGCTGTTTTGGGGGCAGTCGGTGGTATTTACTTCCTCTGAAGCATCGGCGGTTGGCTAATGCTGGAAACAGGATATTGAATTAGATAGATCAGTGGTCTGATACAGTATGGAAGATCTGATGTAAAAGACATTAGTTAATGTCTGTGTGATACTTTAGACACATAAGATAGCCTGTAAATGCTGATTTCTGTGACTCCACGATACACTAATGTGACTGTGCTTGTTTTTTTTGTTTATCTGGGGCCACAAAGGAAGAGCATAGTGGTTCTTATTATGGCTTGATACAGTTATAAAGAAAAATATGTATGAATGAGAATTAAGGAAACAAGGTATCGTATAAAAATTAAAAAGTGTACCTCTAGATATTTTAAAACATTAACTGGTTGAACCCAAAAATGTGAACCAGTCCGCAGTGAGAGGCCATCCTAGTGAGGATTTGCCAGGAGTTGCACCTTTCTGTGTGCATTAACGCCGGGAGCAGCGTGGCAGACTGCTCACAGCTCCTTTCTTTCAGAAGTGTGTGGGTTTTCAGAACTTTTCCTCCAGGTCCAGGGGAGCTGTGCCAATCGGTCAAACCAGAGCAAAATGCAGAGGTGGAAAGGACAGAGTGAAAATACTGGCCCATGTCCAAGATTTCACAAAAAGAGCAGCTGTGTGAATCGGCAGGTTTGTGTGCAGCTCCAGCTCCCACTCTCTTCCTTCCTGCCTTCAGGGCATGTTTTCCGGATGACCACGTAGTTTTTTCCTGCTTTTTGGTTTTGAAGAGCTCACAAGGGGGGTATTTATAGGGAATGTTTTGTCATGCACCGCATTCATCTACATCCAGTCAAGCGACGGTAAGCCATTTCGATAGCCCGTTATGGGCTTTTACTATGAATGATCACTGCGCTGTTGCAGAAAAATAGGGAAAGTAAACTTCCCTCCACCTTTGCAGTAGAGCCACATATGCTTCCGCCCCCATATAAGAGGGAGAGCAGCTCGCTCTCCGTGGCAAGATATGAATAATGTAGCAGATCTATGTAAGTGCTAATTCAAGGAAGAGAAAGGCAAGCAAAGAAAGAGATCTTTCTTGATTCCCTGCGTGCACTGTTGGATACTGAAGTGCTGTCGTGGGAGAGGCGGTAAATGGCCGATGAAGGAGGCGGCGAGGAGGTGTAGAACTTCCCCCTACACCTGCGTGCGCCAGACCCCGGTGTGGGTCTTGTTCCAAATGCTGGGGGCTCGCCAGCACGTCAACCGGGGAGACGGGGCGAGGAACGGGCTGGCGGAGGGGACGGCAGCTGCTGAGGGGGGGCTCGGGGTGGCTTCGGTGCCGCTGTGCTCGGTGGCTGGGCCCTGCCCCGGCGCGGCTCTGGGTCACGGCCGCAGCGAAGGCGACGGGAGACGAACCCCGGGGCAGCCGCCGGTTAACGGGGCCGCGCGCACCGCAGCGCCCCCCACCGGCCGTGACAGCACACCCCCCCCCCCGCGCACCCCCTTCTCCGCCGGCAGCGGCGGCCCCTTTAAGGCCGGCCCCGCCCCTCCCCGCGCGCCCCGGCGGGGCGGGGCCTGGCGGGCGGCGGCGGCCGGGGCGTTGGGCGGGCGAGACACCGGGGCGGCCGGGGCGCGCGGCCGCCGACCTTCAGCCGCGCCCCCCCCCCCCCCCGCCGCCGCCGCCGCCGCCCCCCCCCCCCCTCACCCCTCCCACCCACCGCCCCCGCTGCCGCCCCGCCGCCCCTCCGGACATCGCCCAGCGCTCCCGGTGAGCCGCCCGCGGGGGAAGGGGGGTGCGCAGCCCGCTCCGGCAGCTGCGGGGCGCGGAGGGAGGCGAAGGGCGGGGGGGGGGGCAGCGGCCTGGCCGCGGAGGCCGGCAGCCGGGCCCGCCGGCGGCTGAGGCGGAAGGTCGCGGCGGCGCTTCCCCGGGTGTGGCTGCCGGCCCCTGCGCGCGTGTCCGGGGGGCTGCGGCGGGAGCCCCTTCCCCGCCCCGGGGCGGGGGGGGGGGGGGGGGGGGTCGGCGCTGGGGTTCCCAGCCGGGCCCGTTACATAACGTCACCTGCGGTGCCCACGGCTCCCTCGCGTCACGGCGGCGTCACATTTTTCGCCCGGGTCTGCGGTCTCCGGGGCGCGCGTTCAGGCTTGTGGATCCTCTCGGTGTGGGGTGAAGCTCCGGGGATTGAAAAGCCCCCAGAGCGACAGCGGGACCCGCTCCGCGCCCTGTTGCGTTTTCCCCTTAGCAGGGCTTGTGGGCGTGTGGAGGGACGCGGGGAAGTGGCGTCCGGGGTGAAGGTGCTAGCGCAGGCACTGCTGCGGGTGGTTGAACGTGAGAAACTTTGTGTTCGTTAGGGCTTCCCCCTTGCTTTCTGATTTATGGTGCCTTAACGGTGCCTAGAGGTCAGGGGTTCCCTGGCAGCTCTGTACACGGGTGCAGTGCTGAGGCTGAACCTTTGCGTGGGCTTAGTAAATCTATTGTAAATCCCCAGGAGGGTCCGAAACTCAAAAATAGCCACAGTGGGCTTTTGAGAACTGAAAAGTAGTAACTGTTTTAAGTATTCCTAAAATGGAGTAAAAGGCAAAAAAATTCCATTATAAATGGTTCTTATTTCTAGTATATTAATGAAGTGACACATTTTTTTCCCTCATCATCATAGTGTTCTTTTAAACGGATTAATGCAAATACAGTGGTTTCAAGTGGCCTTATTCTCAGGGGGGGTTAAATTATTGTTGGGAATGGACTTAACCTCAGTGTAGATCCGGTGACACAGATGTTGTTGGGTGGAAGGAGATGAGGGGAAGCAAACGTATAAATTAAAAATATCCTGAAGTCGTCTTTGGAACGCTAGAGAGCTAAACCGAGCTGATGGACAGAGAGGGTTTTGCACTCGCCTGGTTGCGCTTCCTAGTGGCTTTTTGTGCGTGTGCCCATAAATGCTATTATGTAATGGTGCTTCTCCTGACAGGAGTCTATTGTCACCGTAATTCCTGAGGTTTCTGGAGCAATGTAGCTTGTTCAGGAGAGTCGTGGTCAGAACAATGGGAAGAAAAGTTCTTAGTTCTTAAGAGGATGTTTTAACCTATTTAATTTTTCATGTGGTAGGACTAAGCTCAAGACATCTGGATCTCTTCCAGAGTATCTTTGCTGTCCTCTGTTTGTTGTTCAGCTTGTCTTTCTTTTCTAGGCTGCGCTATAGATATCAGGCACCAGCTTGCCGCTTGCATCCTGCGTCAGAGCTGGGAAGACACTGCCTCGCTCCTTTAATAATAACAATTTCTATACTTTTTTTTTTCTCCTCTGAACAGAGCAGAAGTGGCATAGTTATTTTCAGAGCACTTAACTGTTGCTTAGAAAACAAAAATATTTGAGATAATGGGGAAAGGGGACTCTCCCCAGTCTGCATCTCTAGTTAGAACTTGTCTGTATACATCAAAGGGAGGCAGAACGCCTAAGCAGACAGAGAATTTGCATACTGAATGCCAGTGCTCTGAGGATCAGTGCTTTTGTGTCTGCAGTTTATCGTGGATTTTATCCACTGCCTCCTCTCCAGGTGTCTGTCCTGCATCTCTGCAAGTCTGCCTTCTTCTTTTTGTGCCACGCTATTTTTTGGGAGTATATTTCTATGCAGAGGGAATAATTCTTTCCAGTATTGTAATCTGCTGGCCAGTTGTGGCTGTTTTACAGATCATATTTCTGTCTTTTTATAACTTGCGTGTTGTTTCTGGTAGTGATTCTATAAGGAAAACCTGGGGAAGAAAATAACTTTTTTTTTTTGTTCTTGCTTGGAGTTTCATCTGTCCTCTTAAATTGGCTTGTCCTGATACGTATACGAGTGTTTTCTGGACCACTAGAGAAGAGAGTACCACCTGAAAGTAGGAGGATATGCTTCCTTAAGGGGCCCCTGGGATGAAGGAAATATGCCTGAAAGACCTGCAACCTAATCTAACTAACCCTTAGAGTTGAAGATGATTGTTTTCACTTGGTGGTGTTGCACCTCACTGTAGAGCGGAGTAGCACATGACAGGGGAGCCGCAGCCTCCTCTTGGACAAGTCATTGTCAAAACCCAGGTGCCCCCCCCCTCGTGTTCTTACTTTAAAGGTTTTTTTTTTTTCATACGCAGATGGTTCAGTGAGGTCTGTGAAAGTACTGAACTGAGGCTGAAAATTTCCCAATCACGTTATTACTGTAGCAGAGATGTTAGTTCTGTCACCTTCTCTTGGCTTGTCATGCAAATTGACCACCTGTGGTCTTTGAGGAGGGCCCAGTGTCCTTGAGTTGTTCAGTGCACCCTGTCTCTGCTGAAACAGTTTCCGGACAGTTATCAGCAGAGTTTATATTTAGTGCAGCACGTGAAGGTGGACTGAAATGGCTGCTTGAGCTCATGAGCTGCCTAGAGAGTCAGTGAGCAGTGGTTACTGAAGTCACTAAATGTGTGTCCTGCCTGTAGTGCAGTGATTTTTGATGGGATTATTTCTGTCCTGTGATCATGGTTGTTTTCATCTATTTTATTCCTGCCTGGAGGATTGTTTCAGCTCTTGGTAAGAGCTGTCTGCAGTGCTCTTAACCTCAGCTCCTCAATGGTGCAACATTTTAGCTGCAGACTTGGGTTTCTGTGTCTGTGGCTGTTCCTGTTTCATCACTTCTGCTTTTTATCAGTGTACTTGCTCACACCACAGCCATCTACTGCGATACCGCCCAAATACATCTCTTGCTTCTTCTGCTTTCATGAGAAAACAGATGTACGCTGCTAGGCTCTGTCAGTCCAAGAAGGTTTGATGCTGCACACCAGAGCCTTGTGTCAGGCTGCTGCTGTCTTCTTTTTGCCATTTTGGAAAGTTACATCTCTTCTTGCTAACCTGAGGCCCCCCTGGAGAAGCCCATTGCCTGGTGGTACCTCCATGAAAGGTCAGTAGCGCTTCGCAGTCTGGTCCTGTTGTGCACTCTGCCTGGTACAAGGGCTCCCCGCAGCTCCCCTGCCCTCTGAGCTGCTTGGCTGCTATAACCAGCTCATCCCAGCTGATCAGGCTTAGCTGGGAGAGAGGAGATCTTTCACTGGCAGGGCTGGGCCCGCTTGCCTGAAAGACGGAGGGGCATGGGGAAGGGGGCAGAGGCAGCAGGGATTGAATTCTGCTTTAGGAGTATGTAAATAGAAACAATAAGGTGGTTCCTAGAACAGGAAAAGGGGAAACTTAACCCATATGTAGCAAAGATGCTTGCTTATAATGTGGTATTGGTTACAGTAGATTTCTCTTGCCAGAAATGCAGTAGTCTGTAATTATGTTTACCTAGTTGTCATGACAAGTGTCATGTCTTTAGAAATGCCATCATATATGTTTAATCTCTGTTATGAAGCTGTTCTGGGTACAAATGGAATTACTTCAGATGTAACGATTTAACCTCCAGCACAGAGAGTGGTAGTTAGGGACAGGTAGATGACTTCTGTGAAGCACTCTGTCTTTGCAGGTCCTTCTGGCTTTGCTGTTCTCTGGTTACGCAGACAGTATTTTCCTTGACTCTGCTAGCAGGCTCCTTTGAGCAGCTGCAAAAATTGATTTTAAGTTTAACCAGTGGAAATGCTTCCTATAAATTTCAGGAAGCAAGCTTTTGTGTGTAGCCAGAAATATTTTCACCTACCACTTGTATGCTGTTTGTTTTGTTACTGAGCAGTGGCAACTAGTGTGCTCGCAGAGGAAGCTTACTGTTGTCGCACGGCTTGCTTTGTGATGCAGTCTGCAAAATTCAGACTGAGCCTAGGGATGCTAAGAAGAGACCAGTGGAAGCCTGGCCTGTTGTTTGCTTGCTTATTTATTTTAAACTGATGATATTTGTGTGTGATAATTCAAGACAGTTTATTAAGGAAGCTCACGGTGTTGAAGAGCCACAGGACTAGAAGTTAGAGGTATAAAACCCTTACCTCTTTCCCACTGCTTTGGTTATCCCCTTCCCCCAGCTTATGGCTTTCTCTGCCTGTGTGTTGAGCAGCGGGCAGTCTCCCAAAGCAGAGCATGCACTGAGAAACTTCTCTACAGCACAGGGGGTTGATGTGTCTCCTGTCACTCTGGTGATTCCCTGAGGGGAGCTGCTATCCTGGCAACCAGCCCACCCAGCAGCAAATTTGCTTCCTGGTATTAGTGAGTGTTAAGTGGGGTGAGTTAGTCATCACCTCTGCAGCAGTAACCTTGTAGGCAACATAACGTTCAGCTTTTGGAGCTGGTAGAGCAGTGTAAAGGGAAACTGGCTTCTGGAAGCACTTTTATATAGAGAATGAAACAGTGCATTGTATTTTATGCAATAGATTAGAATGGGCTTTCTGTCCAGCGGTGTAAACTCAACTCACTTGCCATAGGAGTGACTTCCTTGTAGGTGTTTGAACTTTGCCAGGCTGAGCTGTGCACCATTTTAACCTCGTGCTCAGAAGTGAACCAGTTCAGTGCTCAGTGTCTCTGTCCTGTAGCTTCCTCAGCTCCAGAACCATTTTGAAAACTTTTTCCCCTCAACTCATTTTCTTTCTAGTTTAAGTGTAGCTGTGGTTTGCTGTTGTTCCTGGGTTTTCCTTCCATTGGTTTAATGGGATTTTGTAATAAGAAGGGTGGGATTTGAAAGAATCTCTGATCAAAACCAAGTTTGCATCTTGTTTGGGAATGAAGATAGATAAGAAATTATGTTGGAGTATTGGATCTCTTACTGCAGGACCTAAGGCAGCATAAGTTTTAAGAGGGAAATTGTTGATACATCAGTTTTGTTAAAAAACAAAGCAAGACACAAAACCAAACCAAACAAAAATAACCCCAAAGCCAAAAACATCCTCCCAGCCCCAACCCCCCAACTTCTGTAAATGAGCTTGAGTGATGTTCTTATGCTACATAAAAATACAGGTCTTTCAATAGCTGAATTTGCAACTTAATTTTCAACAGTAGTTGTTAAAGGCAACTTGCTTTTAAAGGAGATATGGTTGGTATGTGTAGTTTTAAATATATAGATTAGCTAAGTGCTTGAACGTCTCTGACCTATTTAAGATGTTGGGGTATTTTTTTCTTGGTAAATAACTTCCGGAAAGTCTTCAAGGAGTAGATATTGAATCAGCCCACACTAATACAATTATATTGTGGGATGTGCCAGAATCTCCTTTGGGTATTGGAGCCCATTTGTGCCAATCACTCTCACAAGGTATTTTATTTGTTAGACCTAGTAAGGTGCTCTTATATTAATTAAAACTCCTTCAGATGGGGTGGGGGGGAATGGTCAAGACGCATACTGGGTACGTGTTGCTCTCTAATGAGCCAAAAGGCAAAAGAAATTTAATGTGCAGTGAAGAAGACTTAACTGTAATTTATTGTTGTCGGCTGTGTGGGGATTCATTACACTTGAAAGCTAAGACAGAAACTGCCTCCAAAATAGCCTGTGTAGGTTATCTTTTGGTGTTGGTACATGGCCTGAGGAGGATCCCTTCTGTGCCAAAACACCAGCCTGGAAGGGTGATTGACATCTCTGCTTTTCAAGAGAAGTGTCAAAATTGCAGAGCATTGCTCAGAAGGTATGAAAGCTTCACTTTGCCATCTGCTGCCACATATGCCACTGGCGACCCTGTGGCCATGTGTGGGATCATTCTGAAACCTTTAAACCTAGCTCCTCTCCGAGGGCCCCTCACTCCTTTTGAAAGTCCAAAAAGGGCATGCTGCTTGCTTCAGGAGAGGGAGGCTCCTGTTTTCCCCTTAGGAAAATCTAGTAGTACGTATTTATAAACTAAAGCTTCATTGCAGAGCTGTGTGATCCTGAAATGCTGCAAACTGTGCAGCAAAAATATGCTGAAGACTCATTGCAGGCTTTGCCCTAGTTTTGTGAGCAGAGACTATAAAACCATACAAGCCTACTAACAGAGATCCATTAAAAAACACTTCATGGATATGGGGAGCAAGTTTGTATGATCAGGGTTGTGTCTTTTGGTAAGTGCATAATTAAGTTGAATGAGAGACACGAAGAGGAGTTTGCCAGGTTTACTTTTAATTTTATTGTCTATGAGAACTTCCATCTCAAGTCTGTTTCTGGTTTGCTGTGTTGCAGGGCTTGCACACCTTAGACTCAAAAAGCTGACATTTAAATATGACAATGGAATGTTTAACAACAAAGGAGATCTTTAAGCAGGCTAGACAAAAATTCCTTTCAGCTGCACAGCTTTTACTTTCAGTTTTGGATGACCAGTTTTCCCAGTTCTCAATTGGTTGCTGTGCTTGCTGAAGTGGAGAAGACTACCTTGTTAATAGCCACATTTTAAACATGCCTGTGTTTTTTTGGACCATAGAAATAAATTTCCTTTCTCCTATGCTTGTTCAGGAAGTATGCAGTATTTGTGATTGCTAGATTTTTATTTGTAGAAACGTGTGTATCTGATGGCTGGACTTGATGCAGTTCTAATCTGTGTATTTCAGGTTAATTTCTCAGAAGTTTCTGTCCCATTGATTAACAAAAAAAAAAAAAAAAAAAAAAAACCCACCAAAAACAAACCAAAACCCAAAACACCAAAGATTGAATGCTGCTGAAAAAAGTTTTCAGTAGCATTCTGCTATGCATGAAACTGATCTGTTCTCTTATACTTGAGATTTTTAAATGGAACGTGTGAGGGTAGTTTTGAATATTCTTTGGTTTTGAGTAACTTGTGCAGTGTATCTCAAACGCAGATCTGGATTTTGTGGGTAATGTCTGTACCTGAAGCACAGCTGTGTGCCTGTGTTCTACAAACATAATAGAGCTGCCTCTACCCCTCAGCCTTCTGGCTCTTCTATGTGACAGAGTGCCATTCTTATCCCCTATGTACTCCCAGCTAATACTTACTTTTTTGTGCATTCCTAGGTGTGTAAATCAACCGATCATCACTGAAGCATCACTTTAATCATACTTACTTGACAACCATTGTATGCCAGCTTGTATTAACACCAGGTAAGATGAAGGCTAATACCATTGCTTTATTTTTCCTGACTCTTTGTCTTTTAAACCTGCAGTTTGTCCACATGCCATGACTTTTCTGTAGACTAAAGGCAGAATGTGCTGCCTTCCACGTTCTCCTCCTGCGTGAGACAGTCACTTACTGTTGGCATTACTTCATGTTTCGAAAGCTAGCGTTCTAAAATGTTATTGGGGTCTGACTCCTTTGTAGCCATGCCTTAGCCTTTTTCCTGACACATCTGTTAACCTGTTTTTTGTGGTGTTCAGATACCACAAGCTGTGTTTTTTCCTTGTATTCTTCACTCCCTCACCACTCTGTTTTTGCTGTAGAAACTGTTGAACTCCTGCCTTCTGGAGTTAAGCATAAGCCACCCATACTGTCTGACTTTTTCTCTTGAACAGAAAATGGGTTTGGTTTTGTCTTGATTTTTTTTTTTTTCCATACCTCCTCCCAAATGTTACTTTTGAAAACCTTTCACAGACGGATCTTACTTGTGTATTTTATGTTTTAGTGATAAAGAAACTACCTGGATGGGTCTTTCAGAGAACTAAAGATAAAGCTGTTTTTTTGGACCCTCACCCTTTTATTCCCCTTTAGAGAATGGATGTAGATTGGGTCGAGGGGAGGAAATCCCTCTAATGCTTTCAACAAGGTTATTATCCAGTGCTCTAGGGGAGTCCTAGTGCCAACAAACTAATGTGAGCCTTTGGTCTGATCTGATGCTAATCAGAATAGGGATAACTCCTCTGACTACGCCTTCTTCCCCTCAGATCTCTCTAGCAGCCATAAGGCATTCAGCTCCTTTGCTACCACTCTTCTTGCTGTGCTGGCCTGTCGTCCTTGCTTCCAGCATCTGCTACCTTGAGTGCAAAGGCTTGAGTTTTGAGGGGTTCTCAATCTTTTGAGATCTTTTTGGGTGCTCCTGAGTGGTACTAGTACACTTCAGTTAAACACACACACACACATCTACCAAGATATCTATTTATTTTTTATATCATAGAATAAAAAAACCCACTTTTTGTTGATGCGAGATTAGACTTGAATATAGTAGTGTCTTTTGTTACATGTTGGGACATGGAACTGAAAGAATGTAAGTTGGCATGCAGCCAAAATTTAGAAGGTATTTTTCCTTCTGTCTTGTCTTTCCCCCTTCCTTGGTCAGAGCAAACAAATACTGTCTCTCAAACGCTTTTAAATACTCTTGAGTCTAACTTCTGATCACTACTCTGAATGAAGAGCTCTGTAAGTTTTCTAGGATGAATGTGTATGCAACCTATATATTTTGGTTTGTGCCAATGATCTGCTCCCAGTCTAAAGATGAACTGCACCATAGTAGAAAGAGGAGCTTGAAGCCTAGATACATAGTGAAATATGACTTTGCATGTAATATAACACAAAAAATAGTTCATTAAAACCGTGTCTCTTCACTAAATCTTATTTGTGGCTGTGGGGAAAGGGCAGGGGGTGGTGGTGAAGATACTGGTTAGATCTAATGTGAAATGATCACATCAAGCAAAGCTGTTAAAAATGTTTTGCAGATCAAGAAGGGGATGGGAGAAGTGTACAGAGTTAACTTCTATAGCCTTTCCTTGGTAGTACAAAGCTGATGAGAAGCTCATCCTTGTGCTTCTAAAAGCAGGCCTCCTAGTAGAGCCGCTTGGTTTGTGATAGTGGGTTCTCTGAGGATAGATGGTGGCAATCCTCCATGGATAATCTGTCCTGAGACTGTCTGAGCTGGCCTTCTGGTGAATTTGTAAAGGAGTTTGCTGTCTTTCACTAGGGATTGTTCTCTCTGCAGGGTGGTTTGAGATCCTCTTTGCTATCAGTACAGAATAGAGCGGTAGGAGGGATTTAGACAAGTTAAAGATCTTCCCTAGAAGACAGATTGACTGAGTGTGTCTGCACAACTAACATCTGCGTATCAGCACAACGCTGTCGTAGTGTTTCATTTTGGAGAGTGTTTTTTTCCTAATGCACAACTGGAAAAGGCCTACAGTGACAATGTAAAAATCCAATCTCTTTGCAAACTGCACAATTTTTGTCTATGTGGACATAATATCTAAATAAGCTGAGCTCAGAAAAGTGTGCAGAAAGGTATTGGGGTGGAGGGAGAAAGGCTCCATCAGAAGATGCCCATCTGAGCAGACTGATTTAAAGTCTTTTTTGCTAGTGACTGTGCACAGGTGGGGAGTGTGCATTACAGAGGTTGTCCAGTGTGGCTACTTGATGCAAACCTGTGTAGAAGCATTAGCTGTGGGAAGGGGTTTATCAGCACTTCCAAACATCAAAGGTTTTGTTTGTTGTTTGTGGGGTTTTTTGTTTGTTTGGGGTTTTTTTGTGTGTGGTTTTTTTTTTTTTCCTTTTTGTTGACAGTATCCTGAAGAGATACCGCTAACAGATGCAGTGTGACACATTTTATATGGGTAAAATTATAGGCTAGGCATAACTGCCTTTGTCTAGCACTATTAACCCAAAGGTTGTTAAATCCCAGGAAATGCTCGTTTTCGGGGTGATGATTGCTTTTAAGACCTGAAAATAAAAACTGGAAGGCATATGTGTTGTTGGCCTTATCTTTTCTTTACTCTTAATTGGCATATGCAGGGCATTTCCTGCAAATGAGTGCCTTGTGCTTAGTTATTCATGTTCTATCACTTTTTAACAGCCTGCTCATCTTTTGTGATTTGAAACAGTTATCCTGAAATGGGGAGGTGTGTGTGTGAGAGGGACCGTGGACAAGTTTCTGTACAGAACACAGGATTCCTCTCTCCCATTATTTTTATCCTGTGAAGTGAGAACAGGAGGAGGATAGCAGCAGCATTTCTGAACAGCTCCTGTACAAAGCTGTTGGCCTTGAACACTCTCTAACCTGTGCTTTAGTGTCTGTTCCCGCCTCGTCCACTTGAACCATTTGTAATGTGGAAAGCCTAAGCCCCAAGTGCTTGTAACAGTGATGTCTGCTCTGGGGTCAGCCAGTGTTCACCTTCATCCCTTTGTACATTTTGGGGTTTCTCCTTTGTGTATATTTTGACTTTGGCTTTTTTTGGTCCAGGCTAGTATTTGCTTTTCAAGTGGTGTTCTGTAGCATGAAACTTCAGGGGCATATGACATTGTTGGTATTAAATTAAGGAAACAGTACAGAATATTCAAAATTGATCTGTTTGTCTCCCCAAATATTTTCTTTCTGTTCCACTGATAGGAGGCCAGAGGGGACTTCCTCTGCCTGTTTCTTTATGTGTGAACTGAGAGTTTGGATTTAGGTTGGGTTTTTAGTGGGGTTTTTTGGTGTTTATTTTAAGGTCACTTGAAGACCAGCTTAATCTTTGTGACTCTCTGGTTTAACCTCTGGTAGAGAGGAAGGATAATGGATTCCCAGCAGCCACCATATCCTGGAGACAGTGTATTTTTCCATTTAAGCTATGACAATCGCTTCTTCTCGCCTCTTCCTCACTTCTCCCCAATGTTTTGTGGAACAGACACTTCTTAATTTTAATTTTTCATTATATTTATCTCTGATTGTGAAACTAGAGGGTTTTAATTAACATAGCATAGTCATCAACTAACACATTGCAAAACGGCTCTTTGACTTTTAATGTGACAAACAACTCGCTGTGTCTGAGGCTGGGAAGAAAGTTTTCCCCCATAGCCCTGTGCTCCCTGGCCCATTCCCCTCCTATTCTGTTACCTTAACAGCCAGTTGTGTTTATGGGTAGAGTTTAACATCTTGGGGAGTGCTTGGGTCAAACTAGATGGTGATCAGGTATCTCACCTAACCTTGGAGTGGCAGGTTGGAACCCAGCACTGCCTGCGGGTGCTATTTCCCCTCTGACTGTAATAGAGGATCAGGCTCTGACCATGTATTCCTTAAACAGGAGGCAAACTGGGTTCATGTGGAATGTATAGACTGAGGTATTCTCATTTACAAGGATGGGTCCTTCAGATGAAAATGAAGGCATGCCTGGGGGAATGGGTGTTGCCAATGTCCTTACAGTGGCTGTTCAAGGAAATCAGCAGTAAAGGTGGTCTACTGTCTGACTTGCTGAAATCCTCTCTTCTCTTTGTCTTTCCAGCAGGAGGGACTCTGCAGTTTGTGACAGAAAGCAGTATTCTCTATTTCAGCAAATTTGTTGTAAGAGTCCCAAGAAAAGGCAGCTATTTATAATGGGCATCAGAGCTATTGATATGTAACTTTTGGGGCAAGGACTCGCCTTTGTTGGTAGAGTGGCAAGTTTTACGGCAGCAAGAGCCTGGGATGGACTCATCAGTATGAAATACTCATCTGAAAAACAGCTCACAAAAGAAAATCTCCTGTTTGAGAGATATGTCAGCTGAAGACAGGCCTGTTGCAGAATAGGTTGAAATCTGTCAGTGCCTCTGTTTTTTGTTTTAAATGATTCACAGGAAACGCCTAGATTCTTAAGAACAACTTGGGTGTTGTTTTTTGTTGTTTGTTTCTTTTTTTTAAACTAAAACCAGGCTGCCCTGCAGAAAGTGTGAGGCAGCACAGGGAGGTGGGAGAGGAGGAGATGTGTGTTGTACCTGTGGGACTTTTGAAGGGGCCTGAACACTGAAGTTGGAAGGAATTGAAGCATTTGGGCCACTGAACGTTTACAGTTGGCACTAATATGCTTCTGACCTCTGGCGACATGGATGAGAAAATGGCCTTGGTTGCCCCTTGTAAGTCAATCTCTATTGCCTTGGTTGATCTGTGTACCCGTGCCTGGTCTTTTCCACCATCTCAAACGGTGTACTAGTGCGTTGGTTGGTGCTGACTAAAGAGGAGAACTTGAGTCAGAAATACTGCTGCTTACAGAATGATGCATGTGCTGCAGCCTTTCCATGTGTTGTTCCAGACAAGCCTTGCTGAATTTCAGATATGTGATTTTTATTTCTTTTTTTTTCTCTGAGGTACTTGGTGGCAAGAAAACATATTTGCTAAAGCAAGCTGATATTTTATAGTCCTCCTGCATTGTGCATTTAATTGCTGCATAACTGA